GTCAGCTTTAATCTGACCTCAGAGAAGTAGTTAAGAATAATTTTTTGTGTATTTTCAATTTCTCTGTTTTGTTTCCATTGGCTATAAACAATAGTTTGTGCAAGTGGTCCTTTTGCCACCCTGTTGGTGACATTTGTGGTTCCTGATTTCTGTGTCATGTCCTAATGTGAAGGCACAAGTATCTAGAAGAGTTTTACATGAGAAAGTGGACTCCTGAGGTGGGAGCCTTGCGTTTGCTGCTGGTGCTACCTGCACGTGGGACAGGGGGCAGGGAGGCTCGTCATGAATATTAGAGGTTTGCTTCTTGGAAGAAGTTCCTGGACATGTGGAAGTTTCCTGGGGCTACTCGAAGGATTTCCCAAGAGAGGACAGTGCTGGCCCATGTCCCCTTTGTGATGAATTTCTGAGCTTTTACTGCTTAATTGTTTTCTCAAATAACAGACGTGATTATCTAAACCAATATCTAAAATCAGAAGCATAAAAATGTTGGAAACTTACCCAAGCAATAGTGATGAATCAAAATGATCACTTCCCCCAAAAATCTTCCTTTCTCCCTAATCCCAGATGCCAAAAGTTTCCCACCATTAACCACGGAGTCACTTCTCCTATGCTCCCTAAATTCACTTGGTACAAAGAGCTGCCTCACAGGAATAACCTGGTGCCAGGGCTGTGGTGGCACATGCTAGGTAGTCCTGGGGTGAGTGTCTGGGCCACCTGGTGTGGCAGATGACTCACCCCATCCCAGAGGGAGTTCATGGACAAAGAGAAATGAGGTCACAGAGGAATCAAGTGACTCAGGGCTCCTGGTACTGAGCAGGAGGGAAAAGGGAGAGGAGGGGAGGGTGGCACCAGAGGGATATCCATCCCAGAGTCCGCTGCCTCCCTGCTGCACGATTGGCATCACTTGAAGCCAGCAGGGAGCAGCAACGGCCTGGCCTTGGGGACAGTATTTGCTGCTTCTACTGTCCTGTATGAAGTTACAAGAGCTGCCTCCCATGGAACCCCTCTTAAGCCCCACAGCATTGGTGCCCCAACAATTCATCTTCAAAAGTGCTAATAAATGGCCCAGGACTCCAGTTCGAGCTGTATTTGCAAAACACCCCAGAAGCAGAGGATGGAGGGATGTGAGAACTCTCCTAAGAGTGGGTAAGAAGGAATTGAGGTGATGCTGGTCCCCAGTTCTGCCTTTAATTCCTGGGAAATAGGGCAATGGGGTCTTGTAGCCACCAGGGACTCTGTCCTGTCCTTTGCCCATTAGCACCGATGGGATGTCCTGGGATTCCTCACACAGGAACCACAATGTCCCTCACCAGGAAAGGTGGGAAATCCCTGGGCTGGATCAATTTGGCACATGCTGTCATGGACTCACTCTGTCATGACTCCAAATATGAAGAACCAGTTAATTCACTAGAAAGGTCTGCTGTCCAGGGATACAGAAGTGTCTAGAATCAAGTCCAGGTCAGAGGGGTGGGGGAAGCAGTGGCAGGAACAGATTTGCTTGGAAGCCACGCCCACCTCTGCAGCAGGAGGAGGGGATAAGAGAGGTCTGGGGGCCAGGCCAAGGGTTGGAGGCTCAGAAAGCAGCGCTCTGGGGCATCTCCACCATGGCCTGGGCTCTGCTCCTTGTCACCCTCCTCACTCAGGGCACAGGTGAGGCTCCAGGGAAGGGACATGGGAATATCTGGCTCATCCTTATTATCTCTATCCTCAGGGTGATCTGAGGCCCATGCATGTGCTGACCAGAATGTGTTTTTGCTCTTTTCAGGGTCGTGGGCCAACTCTGCCCTGACTCAGCCTCCATCGGTGTCTGGGACTCTGGGAAAGACGGTCACCATCTCCTGCGCTGGAACCAGCAGTGACATTGGGAGATATAACTATGTCTCCTGGTATCAACAGCTCCCAGGAAATGCCCCCAAACTCCTGATATATGAGGTCAATAAACGAGCCTCAGGGATCCCTGATCGCTTCTCTGGCTCCAAGTCAGGCAACACGGCCTCCCTGAGCATCTCTGGGCTCCAGTCTGAGGACGAGGCTGATTATATCTGTGCCTCATATACAACTAGTAGCACTGTGCACAGTGGTCCACACTCATGGGGATGTGAGACCACACCTTGCCCTGAGCCCTCAGGCTCCCCGTGGCTCTGCCTTTGCTGGTTGTCCATCTGCTTCTGTTGTTGAAGCATCAGAGCTGAAAGGAGACCCTGCAGAGGGAGGAGGACAAAGAAGAGGGCGTGGTTTTCCTGTTTATTTTCCCTTCTCTTTGTCCTACATCTGAGCAGGCTGAGCCAGCAATCAGGGACAGACCCTGGGTCTCTCACAGTTGCCTCTCATCACCTGGTGAGCCCTGTCTGGGAACCGCCCTGCAGGGGGAAATTCTCCAAAGGACGATGGGCTCCTTGCAAGGTGGCTCCGAATGGAGGCTGCCCTGGCAGGTGTCTCTGTCATTCTCTTGACATCAGGACACACGTCCCTGTGAGGAGCCATCGCCGGTTCTAGGTGGAATCCCTGCTAATCTAACAATGGTGAAAATTCATTTTTAAAGTGGGAACATGAGCACTGGGTCCAATATTTACATTTTCTTGAAACTGGGAGACAGTTTCCAAATGCAACCTTTCATAAAATTGAAGTTATATGAATTCCTTCAACCAATGAGATGAGAAACAAAGTGCACTAGGAATCTATTTGCTGCATTACAGGTCCCCCACACACACACTTACAAGGTAAAAAAAAACATTCAGCATCCGGTGTTTTCTGGCTTCTACAACCTGGAGCAGCTCTTTTCTGTGCTTGTGTCTCCTGGTTCTCATGTAGGGGCAGTCCTGCATCAGCCAGGCTGGTTCATTGAAGGCCCCTCTATGTTTGGAAGCACTCCCGCCCAATCAGGCTCACCCCCTGCCTGCCATGTGCCCGCTTTTCCTCACCACATCATCTTCCTGATAAATCTGATTTTTAAACCTTGTGAATTAGGCCCCATATTTTCCACATCTCATGCTAGTCTCCACGTGAATAGTCATTTTTCTTCATCCCAGCATTTTCCGTTGGACCAGAATCACAGGTCTTACAATCTATCAGGTCATAGCTCTGGTGTATTGCTGAGAATCAGCACCAAGTTCATTTCTAGACTTTACTTTCATTGCAGTAATAGCTGCTTCTAGGCTTGGGGTCCGGGAATCAGAGTGTTTTTACTCTCCCGGAATAGGCTCTGTTACTTCGTGCCCTCCCCCATGGCTGTGGGGCAGCGGGGCGTTCTGTCCCTCCGTCTGCTCTCCTGTTCTCTCTCTTTTCCTATGGGACTTCCTTCTGCATTTATAACTCACCTTACATTTTTGTTAGAAAGCCTTTTTTTTTAAATTGACAATGACCTCAATATGTCTGTACACATGTTGAGAAGTCATAGCCTTCAAATTATACTGAGATGTGACATCAAATATCCCTCTGAATGTCCACACTCCAGGCTTGCAGTTTAAACAATCAGTCCGGCTCTTTATGGGCAGATGTGTGTGTTTGTTCATGAGCATCTGAGCAGTGGTCAGTCTTGTGTCCTTCCACGAGCCCTGCCCTCTCCTGTCCCCACGCCAGGTCCCTAACGTTTAATACACACTAGCTTAAG